ATACTTAAGAAATGACCTTGTATTTTCTTAATTATTGACATTTTTAAAGATATAAGCTCATCCTGATATTACACTCTTCAAGAGCTTTCATTTGAGTACCCACATGCATTTTGATATATTTTTCATATATACATATATATAAATATATAAAATATATGAAAAATTGATGTGGGTACTCAAATGAAAGGTCTCGATGAGTGTAATATCGGGATGAGCTTATATCTTTAAAAATATCAATAGTTCACGAGATACAAGGTCATTTCTTAAGTATGTATCTAGAGATAGAGCATTTTAAAATGCAGCCTAAATAATTATCATAATAAATTGACTATTAGTGAGAATGATATGAAACCATGGAAAGGCATAACTCCAATTCAAGACCTTTCTAATGATACCAAATTTAACCATAGAAACCCATTTTATCATATAAATACACTGACCATAAAATTTTGCTAATTCTCTTAATAATATAGATTTGAGCTTCCAAAGATATAATTTTTAAATACATTTTTCGTGTCAAAATTTATTAGTTAAAAAATCTCAAAATTCCTAAAAATAATCAAGTGTCTCTCAATTTAAATATCATAACTTTTTTTATTTTTTTATATGATGCTTTGAAATTTTTATAACAAATAAATTATGATAAAAAAATTAAATTTTTAAAATTCGCACTTGTAATTTTTTTTTAATTTTTACAGGTAAAATTTTTTTACTAAATTTTTTTCATATTATTTAATTGTTATAAAAGTTTAAAAAATTGTAAGATTTTTGTTACTTTTACTGATATTTTTTTACTAATTTGTTTTTTTAGAGAGTACATCCGACGATAATTGACAAAATAAAATGCAAGTCAAATCAACGTAAGCCAGCAATAGCATATGTTGACATGTCATCGGAAAAATCTCCTGAAATAATAAAAACAAAGCGGGGTTACCGGAAATGTTCGAAACAAGTCAGTATACTTATACATTTTTCTTATCTTATAACTTATAATAATCATTTTATTTATATAAATGATTATTATTTAACAGGAAGAAGAGCCGCAAGTCAGCAGCGAGGAAGTGTTCGACCCAAATCCAGAAATGTGGATTGAAACGACTCCAAATAAAAAACGAAAGGATGAGTCGGATGCCGACATGAATAAGTACTTGAATTCGAGCAACACGTCCACTATCGAAGACGAGTTTGACGCAATTGGGAAAAATGTTGCTGCTAAATTACGCGGCATGCGGTTGGACCAGAGGATAGTCGCTGAGAAGCTCATTAACGACGTGCTGTTTGAGGCCCAGCTCTGTACCCTTCACCGAGACTCAAGTCTTCAAGTTTAATCTAATTATTATTTGATAAATAATTCCATTAAGTTAAATTATGCTTGTAAGATTTGATAAAAAAAAAAACTATTTTTTCAGTAAATTTAAAAGTATCAGAATAAAAATCTCAATTTTTTATAACTTATAACTATAAACTGTAAAAAAGAGAATATTTAAAAAAAAAAAAAGTTATAACGAGTAATGTAAATAATATTTTTATTCAACGATTAAAATAGCTGCCGAAATATTTGTACACTAAAGATATTAAAAAATTTATCTCTTTACAATCACAATGTTTATCATTTTTCGCATAAATGCTAAAGTCGAAATCAGCTAATATAATTATTATTTATTTAAATATAAATAACTAACAGTTTAACTTAACTTATTAATACAAAACGTTTTTATAAAAAAAAAAATTTTTATATATAAATATAATTATATTTATATTCATAAATAAGTATCAATATATAAGTGTAATTGATGTGAAAAAAAAAAAAAACTAAGCATACGCGAAGTCAGTCCGTAGTTCTTAAAAAAAAAAATACTGAAGAATCGGAATAATAATTAATTAATAATTTTAAATTAAGGGGAACACCACTGTGACAATCGAAAAAAAGAGGTGATTCTCGGGAATTTTTTTGACAGAGTGAAAATAAAGGAATTTGGAGATTTTAATTTTTTGATTATTTTTTAATAATTAAATTAGAACCAAAAAAATATTTTTAAAAAATTGCACCTTCAATTTTTAAAGTTTTTTACAAATGAAATTTTTTTTTTATTTTTTTATAATAATTTTTTCAATAAAAAAAAATTCTAAAAATTTTTAGATGTCGGCTAATTTAATTTTCATTTTTTATTCCCCAAATTTGTTTATTTTCCGTCAAAAAAAATCCCGAAAATAATTTTTTTTTTTTTCGATCGTGACAGTGGTATTCCCCCAAATTAATATCCACCAAATTAAAAGAATAAAAAAATAATTAACTAGCGTAAATACGGCGTTGTTTTGGTTTCAGAATGGCATGATATACACCAACTGATAGAATGCAAAGACCCATGCTGATAAAAATAGCGTAAAACATATAAGTGTACCAGAAACTGTCCCAGTCTTCGAGGGTGAACCAAGTCACGGTCATTACTGTGTTTTGCAAAATAACAAATATGTGATAAAATAGCAGCCACTTGTCGGCATACTTGAACTTGATGCGGTACTCGATAATACTGACTATATAAACTGAGCCGAGCCACAGATTAACAATAAACGTTGTGATGTTGAAGTCTTTTGCGTAATAAAATAAATAGCTGAGCATTACCGCGTAGTGTACCGCGATAACTCCCGCAAGCCAGATAGGGTAAAACTCGTAGAACAGAGCTATTGCGAATACACGAGCAAGAATGAAGAAGAACCACCAGATAAATGCCACAAATTTTCCCACCGGATCGTCTTCCTCGACGATTTTTATTGAGTCGATGCGACGAGGAAGGCGTAAACTGCGCCAGCGACTCGGCGCTTGAGGACTCGACTCGTCGTTGACTATCCTCTCGGTGGATTTTCCAGGGTCTTCGGCGGCTGTCTCGGCTTCCAAAGACTCCCGGATTACTGAGTCAGGACGAGGTGGTGCTTGCATTTCTGGAACCGGCAGAGGTGTCACGCTGGTTATTCCTCTCAGCGGGGCTGGTGGTGGGATTATTTGAGCATTTTTTGGTGGTAATGGTGGTGTTGATGATATCTGACGCTCCAGGGTCACGCGAGTCAATTCAGTCTCCTGGATTGTTGATGGTTTTGATGGTAATGCTGAAAGGTTCAAATTTATATCCTGGTTTTGTGATGGTGGTGGTTTTAATGGTTTGTTTTCATCCAAATTTCCAAGTTCCTTTAATAAATAAAAATAAAAATTAATAATATTTAGCTGTTAGAAAATAATTGATGCAGTAAATACATACTGTAATTATAAGTATTACTTTTTTATGATTTAAAAAATAATAAATCTTTTTAAGAAATTATGAGTAAAAAGTGATACAAATAAAACCATTATTATTTTAAATAATAATAATAATAATAATAATAATAATTTACGTCTTTAAATTTTATTTTTATTATCTATATATTATTAAGAGAATAAGCAAAATTTTGTGGCAGGTGTATTTATATGATAAAATGGGTTTTCATGGTTAAATTTGGTATCATTAGAAAGGTCTTGACTTGGAGTTATGCCTTTTCATGGTTTCATATTATTCTCACCAATAGACAATTTATGATGATAGGTATTTAGGGTGCATTCGAAAATGCACTCTAGATACATAATTAAGAAATGACCTTGTATCTCGTGAACTATTGACATTTTTAAAGATATAAGCTCATCCTGATGTTACACTCATCGAGACCTTTCATTTGAGTACCAACATCAATTTTTCATATATTTATATATATTATATATATGTATATATAAAAAATATATCAAAACCGCATGTGGGTACTCAAATGAAAGCTCTTGATGAGTGTAACATCGGGATGAGCTTAAATCTTTAAAAAAGTCAGTAGTTAAGAAAGTACAGTGGAATTTCACAAATATCTTGTCAACTAATGATATTTTTAAAGATATAAGCTTATCCCGTCATTACACTCATCGAGACCTTTCATTTGAGTACCCACATCAATTTTTCATATATTTTATATATTTATATATATATGTACATATAAAAAATAGATGAAAAATGTATGTGGGTACTCAAATGAAAGCTCTTGATGAATGTAACATCGGGATGAGCTTATATCTTTAAAAACGTCAATAGTTAAAAAAGTACAGTGCAATTTAACAAAAGTCATTATTTAATAAAGCAAAATTTTATTTATTTATACTCCACAAGTCACGGCAGTCACATAGTGACTGCAATGTTGCTAGTTATTATTATTATTATTATTATTATTAAATCATAAAAATGAATAACAATAATAATTATATTTATAATTGAATTTAATTAAAAATAATGAATACCTGTAATCGATATTTTTTCAACCACATTGCCCATGGTAATCGACGACCATTAGCTCTTTGACTTTCAAATCTTTGAAACGATGCAGTTTGGACTGCCAATACAACAATTGACATAAAAATACAGAGTACTTGAACGACAACTGTAAAAAAAATTTTTAAAGTTAGTAAATATTTAATTCTTATTACTCTTAATTAATACTAAATTACTATTTAAAAAAAAAAAGAAAAACCTACTTGACTGATATGTACGATCAGTATAACGCTCCCTTAATAGTAAATGGATCTGAAAAATAGCTTGAGGTGCAGCTTGAAACCACGATTGTAAAAAAAAATACAATTCAATAGCCGCTGGTGTAGCAGCAACACTCAATGATTTATTTCTTTCATCACCGCTCAATAATATTGCATCTATTATCACAACTATTTGACCAGCGAATCTGTAATTAAGCAATCAAATTAGTATAAATTTATTAAGATAAATAAATAAATGAATTTTTAAAAATATAAGTTACCTGTATAAAGCAAAAAATGGAAAAGCAACAAGCTGACACAGCTGAATAAAGAACCAGGCAATCACACCCTTGGTGACTTTTTGGTCCTCAGTCATCCACCAGTCGGGTCTGGAGACTGTTAGCACGAAATAAGCCACCGCGGGAGCATACATCAACCCGATGGTCAAGCCACCCCATATTTGGTTATTTTCCCGGAAATGCTGAATCGCCACCACCAGGTCACTCGAGAAGTTTATCATGTAAATACAGCAGCTGACTATCGTCGGTATTAAAAATACAAGGTAAATTTGTTCCGTAGACTTGAGCGGGATTTTTAGACATCTCGTTGACTTTTTATCACAAACCGGCTCCAGTGCCATTGCCATTTTTCTTATTACTTAATATAAATACAATTACGGTAATTAATCAAATGCTATTTAATTTTTATCACTGTTGCTACGGATGAAGTAAAAATAGTAATGTAAAACATTAGTGTCTTTTATAATTTATCACACGTTACGTTTGTCTTATCTTTATTGTAAATAATGCTGATGATAAATATGAATCACCTTATTAATCACTTAATCGTAGTTAATTAGCTGAATTTTCATTTGATATTTATGAATATGTCTAATACTTTTTAAATCCGAGCAGTCTTTTATTTATCGAACAATTAAGCACACTATTTTTTTTTTTTTTTTTTTTTTTTAGCAGCACTTGTCACTTATAATTATAATTAATTTTTTTTTTACATTTAGCTTGCTAAATACCTTTTAATTAATAAAATAACTATCCGGTTTTGTTAATGATTCATAATTGCACTAAAAAAAGATCAAATTTATAAATAACTATCATTGCACTAAAAAAGATATTTTTTTTAAAGTGATAATTGATACAATAAAAAATTTTTAAATATTATTTTGATAACTTAAAAAAATTATGATACTAAAATCTAAAATTTTTAATTATCTTTTAATTCAATGAAATATTTTTTTTTTTTAATATAAAATTCTAAAATTTTTTATGAAAATCAAATTTAATAATTTTAAAAATTTTATAACAAATAAATGATGGCAAAAAAAAATTGAATTTTAAAAAAATAAAAAATGCAATTTTTTAAGAATAATTTTTTGGAACAAATTTTTTTGATAAATAAAATTAAAAAATTGTTGTGACTGCTAACTTTAATGTCATAAATTTTTTAAAATAAATTTAATTATACCACAAAAAATATTTCAGACTCCAACTTTAGTATCAAAAATTTATAAATATTTACACTGTGCACACACTTAAAAAAATATTTGAATTTTACTAATTAAATTTTAATTCCAAAAAAATAACAATTAAAAATCCTTTTAATATAAATATTAAATAATCACTAATCACCTCGTCTAACCTTGATAAGCGCGCACACCAGGTGAAAATAATGGCTTTAACCGCGTTACAGTTATAATGATAAAAGACTCTGTATCCTCACACTTGTGCGAATCCATGTGTTTACATCCAATAATAATAACAACAATAATTACAATTATGAAATGGTTAATGTCCGTGACAGACACAACTGAATAAAATGAAGACTGCTGGCTTACATCGAGGACTTGGCTTAATTTTCCTGCTACGTTCCAAGCTAAAAAATAAAATAAAAATATTTTGAGATTAAAAAATATACTGATGGTATAAAAGATAACGCGACTTAGCCCGAGAAGGAGAAGGAAAAAGTTTTACAACTTACAATAGAGGAAAAAAGACAAACAACCGAGCGTGAGTATGTATAATAGATAAATAAATATTTATGAGTATAAATACCTATATAAATGTGTACTTATGATACATAGGAAGAAAAAAGCTGACTGACATAATATAAGAGAACTGACACTGACAGCTGAATGGAACCAAAGTATAGATATAAGTAGTGAGAGAGTAATATAGTAATAAAATAACATATTATATTATTATGAATGTAATATGTAAAGAGAATAAGAAATTAGTATTAATTTAGCAGATATTTAATAATTTTTAGAATTTTTTAAACAGATAAATAATATGAAAATTGAGTTAGCCGACACTTAAAAATTTTTATTTGTTAATTTAAAATTAGAACTAACAAACTATTTTTTAAAAATTCCAAAAACAAACAAAATAAATTAAAAAAATTTTTAAATGTTGGCTAATTTAATTTTCATATAAATAATGGCAAAAAAATTGACAAGTAAAGAGAAATTTATGATAATAAATTTAGCAGATATTTAATCATTTTTAGAATTTTTTTTAACAAATAAATAATGGCCAAAAAATAATATAAAAAAAGTTGACATGTAAAAATTTTTAAAAATTAAAAATGCAATTTTCTAAAAATAATTTTTTTGATGAAAATAAAGTTAGCCAAAAAATTTAAAAAGGTATAAGTGCAATTTTTTAAAAATATCTTTTTAGTTGCAATTTAATTAATAAAAAAAAATTAAAAATTTTTAGGCGTCTGCTAACTTAAATGTCATTTTTTCAAATAAATTTTTCTGTCAAAAATTAAAAAATTCTCTAGTGACTGCTAACTTTAATGTCATTAGAAATTTAAAAAAATAAAAAATGCAATTTTTTAAAAATAATTTTTTTTTTAAATAAAATAAAAAAATTATCAAGTAACTGCTAACTTTAGTGTCATGAATAAGAAGTCAAATAATCAAGACTAAAGACTATTTACACTAGAAACACAAGAGAGATTATATTATTACCGTACCGAGTTGGGTTTAACTGCGAGCACTAACACCATGTTTATGTACGGGTACTGTTACATACTGATAAGTATGTATATAAGTACTTTGTAATATATAAGTATATAAATATCACTGATGTGAAAAAATTACTCTGTGGTCTAGAGACACCAGACACGTACATATAAGTAATGTTTCACTTCAATGCTAGATACTGATGGTCGCTGGTGCTGGTTGCAGCTGACGGCCAGTGTCGCATCGCTACCGCTATGTCCTATGTACTAAAACTAAGTACACGTACTTGGACCTGAACATGGAGAATTCATGATTATTTTTATATGGACTTGATACTTTTTGTTTACACTGGTCTTTACTTACTTGACTTGTTACCTGTTTGGTGGATGATGCTTGAGTAAATTCGCTTCTACGGATAAAGATTTCTCGAGAGTTGGTATACATACCTGTATATATATTATTTAATATATGTATATATATGACACTTGACAATGGCCGCTAATTTATTGATTCCCCTCAAGTTATTTTCAGTTTTTTAAACTTGTGTATTTAATTGTTTGAATGATTATGGAAAAGTTTGGAATTTTTTTTTTTTATTGATTTTATTTACTAAATTTTTTATTTATAAGAATTTTTTTTTCAGGCTGGTACGAAGAAAATTTACCAAAAATTTTGATGTTTTTTAATGATACTAAAGTTAGCCGACGTTTTTACTTTTTTGATTTTTTTTTAATAATTAAATTAGAACAAAAAAATATTTTTTAAAAATTGCACTTACAGTTTTTAAAGTTTTTTTCAAATAAAATTTTTTTTTTTATTTTTTTGTAATCATTTTTTTAATGATGTAAAAAAGATTTTTAAATAATGTAAAAAAATTTACAGGAAAGTAATGATTGATAAAAAATAAAATTATTGTTGATAAATAATTTAGACATTTAGTATCTTAGCATTGATAAAATGACAATTAACAAATTCCATTATCATATTGATAAAATTAAAAGTTAATGTGTAAAAATATAATTTTTGTAATACAGATTCTTTCGAGTCACGGTACCGGTATAAAACTAAAAATATTACAAAAGTTTTTTACAATATTTTTTTAAAATTGCATTTACAATTTCTCAATAAATTTTTTACAAATAAAAATCTTTTTTTATTTCTTTGTAATAATTTTTTCAATAAAAAAAATTTTTTTTATTTTTAAATGTCGGCTAACTTGTTTTTCATTTTCAGAAAATATTAAGAAAAAATGATTTAACCTTACTGCACTGTCACGAAAGCTTACAAAAAGGGCCAATGACCCTTTAAAACTCGTTTATTAATTTTATTAAAAAAATTGGAGTTTTAATTTATTAAATTTTGTAAATGTCAACTTTTTTTTCTCATTTTTTTATCCAGTAATTTATTTATTAGAAAAATTATTAAATATCTGCTAAATTAATTTATGAAAATTAAGTTAGCCGACATCTAAAAATTTGTAGAATTTTATTTATTAATAAATTATTACAAATAAAAAAAAATATTCATTTGTAAAAAACTTGAAAAACTATAAGTTCAATTTTTTAAAAATATTTTTTGATTCTAGTTTAATAACTAAAACAACTATAAAACAACTTTAGGATCATAATTAATTTTCATCTAAAAAAATTAACCTTAATTCTTAAAAACAATTTTTTTTCAATTTTCCATTTCTTTCATAACAATAAACGATAACCTACAATGATTAACGCATCACTCTTGTTATAGATAATTGATATTAAAAAGCATCTCAACGTGTCATTACTTGTAAGCAGGTGGTTGGTGGATGAAGGAATGAAGGATTTATTTATACACACAAAACAGGTTAGAATCGTCAAGGATAAAATTTTTCACAAATGTAAATATAACCTCTAATTTATATATATAAATACGTCAACTATATAGACAAAGTAAATAAACAGTATTAATTTATAAATAATATTTATTAAAAATAAAATAAATATTTGATAGTACTGAAGTTAGCCGTCAGCTGTCAATTTTAAAAATTTTTTTAAAAAATAAATTACAATAAAAAAATACTTCTAAAAATTTTCACTTGTAATTTTTATTAATTTTCACATGTAGAATTTTTAAATTAAATTTTTTTTAACAATAATTTAATTGCTATAAAATTCTAAAAAAATTTTTAATATCTGTCACCTTTAGTGTCATAATATTTGTTGTAGTGAAAATTAATCGAAATGTCATGGATCCGAGAAAGCACTCTGAGTTGTCTGCAAACGTGTGCTATAAAAGTGATAAAAAGCGGACAAATACCTCGACATGTCGCTTTTATAATGGACGGTAACAGGCGGTATGCAAATAAAAAACAGTACAACAGCTTCATCCAGGGTCACACTGAGGGTTTCAATAAGCTGGCGGAAACCCTGCAGTGGTGCTTGGATCTCGGGGTCAGGGAAGTCACAGTCTACGCGTTCAGCATCGAGAACTTTAAGCGCAGCAAAGAGGAGGTCCAGGAGTTGATGACGTTGGCAGAAAATAAATTCAAAAAATTATTGGACGAACGGGAAAAATTAATGAAGCACGGAGTCAGGATCTGTGTCGTAGGTAACATGTCTCTGATCCCGGAGAATTTGAGAAAACTTATGGATGAGGCGATGCTGATCACCAAAGACAACTCCAAGGCTCTGCTGAATGTCGCGTTTGCTTACACGTCCAGAGACGAAATTGTCGAGACGATTAAAAGCTTAGCTCAGAAGGTTGATACCAGCCAGCTGCTTCCTGAGGAGATTGATGAGAAATTGTTCGCTCAGAATATGTACACCTGCGAGTCCGCGGATCCTGATTTGATTATCCGCACCTCTGGGGAGGTCAGGTTCTCCGATTTTCTTCTGTGGCAGTTCAGCTACTCGTATATTTATTTTTCTAAAGCCTTTTGGCCGGAGTTTAGTGTCTGGGATTTTTTAAAAGCTATTTTTTATTACCAGCGGAACTGTGATGAGTTGCAAAGACTTAAATGTTACTCTGAATTATCGAATAAAGTGTAAATGTTTTATTTTATTTTATCTTATTTAAAGAACTTGGTCAAAATTAATAATTTTAGTAGGAATTTGTTTTTTGATTTTATTTAGAAAGTTTGTATACGTAAATTAGCAGATGTCTTAAAAATTTATAGAATTTTTTTAAAAATGTAATTTATCTGTGAAATGATAAGTCTGCTACTTTTTTGTTTAGTAAGATCATGAAATTTAAAATTTTTCATTTCTTACACTGAGAAAAAAAAGTACTACTCTTGAGAAAATTTTCTTGTCACATGAATATATATTCTTGATAATTTTCAAGAATATATTTTCTTGTCTCAAAAATTGATCGAATTATTTTTTGTTTAATTCAAGTGAACCTATTTGTTTGTTAATCTATCAAAATTAATCCCAATATTTTATTATCATGATAGATATTGATATTCTTTTGTCAAAAAAACCAAAATTTATTTTAAACAATTCTTGAGCCAAGAAATTTTTTTCTGGACAATAATTTTTTTTTTCTCATTGTACTTTAACCAAATTTCTTTGTTGTAAATCTATAAATTATCAGCAAGCACATAATTTAATTGATTAAAAAGACAATAAAATAAATATTATATTTAAAAAAATGTTTATTTAATTTTAATAGATGTAAGTTTTATTTTAAAAATTTTTCCTTCGTACTTTGTTAATTGAAATATTTACAGACATACCAAAAATGAATAATTTCAAGCTGAGCGTGTGTTATTTATTATACAAATTTTTAAATAAATCATATTAAACTTAAAAAAAAAATTATTGAGTTGTAAGAAAATTATTAATTTAAATAGATTTAGAATTGACACTAGTACTAGGCTGATCATCAGGTTGTAGACTATCAAGGAACTGCTTGTACTTTTCTTCAAATTCAAGACTCATTTCCTTTTGATCATTTGTTCTTTTGTCATACTTGGAACCGAGTGCCCACAGAGTCTCTAGGTCATAATCCTCTCGAGCTGTTTTGGAAAATATGTGCAGCACAATATTACCTGAAATATTTCAAGTTTGCAATTGTAATATTTTGATCAAAATCTTTTGATAGCTGACATATGTCTGCTCATTTCATCACCTTGATTAGAAATTAGAAAGAACAGAAGATTTAATTAATAAATAGCTAGTTAATAATTACCCAAGTCAATAGCCATCCAATCTTTACATTTTTCACCTTCAATCTTGGGAATAATATCCGTCGAATATCTTTTCAATTTATAAACTTTTCTAACAACGGTTGCCAAAGCGCTCATGTGTTTTAATGATTTACCAGTAGTTACTACGATGTAATCACCATATCCTAATTCTTTAGATACTGATACTACAAATACATCCTTAGCTTTTTCTTTTTTCAGCAAGTCGACCAGGTCTTCTATGTCATAGACTCCAGTTACACCATCTGTCAAAAATTCGATAAATATTAATATTTCTATGAAATAATACTAAAGTTAGCCGACGTTTTTAATTTTTTGATTATTTTTCATTTATAAAATTATAACTAAAAAATTTTTTTCTTAAATTGCACTTATAGTTTTTCAAGTTTTTTACAAATGTAATTTTTTTTTTCCTATAATTAATTTGGTAAAAAAAGTTTTAAAACTATTAAATTAATTTTCATTAAATAAATTAATGTTGACAAATTTAACTTATCACTTGTTACAATTTCTACTTGTGGAATTTTTTTCTCCAATTTAATTATTATAAAATTTTTTTTAAATAATTAAATGTCTCTCAATTTCAGAATCATAAAATTATTTTTCATAATCTTAATCAGCTTCAACATATAAATAAATAAATAGTAAAGTTGAATAATTTCAGTATAAAAATTTTGAGGTTATAAAAAAAAACTAACGTTTTAAATTAATTCCTGCAAAAGGATCAATTTCCTGTTCCAGCTCAGTAATTTTTTGAAAATCTATTTTCTTCATTTCTTCCTCGACGTCAAAAATAACTTCTGAATCTTCATCACGAAACACCTGGTGACCGGTCTGGAGTCCCGGGGACGGAGATAGCTTGGTTGCTTCATCAGTTTTTAATTCACTTTCTGCTAATTTAGGCTCTTTAGTATCCGCGAAATACCTTGTTGCTCCAATTTGTGCTAATTTAACATTTTTATTTATTGCAACTATTGATTTATAAAAATTAGTTGTGGTAAAAAGTTTCCGAGTTATTAAACTACACATTTTTACTCTATTATTTAATAAATTAAATAATTATTCACTACTTAACACATTTAATTATTATTAATTCAATGGTTAATAGTCAAAAATGTTTTAGCGTGAATTAAAAAATTTACAAACACTATATAATTTAAATAAACTTTCTCACACTGGAGCATCAGCTTTGTACTTTTTCTAGGTTACGTTCTACCAACACGTGGGTCTCATATTTTTAGATAAAAAAATTATCCTTACCCCAACAACACTTACTTTATTGTTAATTAATTACTAAACTTATATTTTATTTTTTTTTTTCAATTAGATGTAAAGCTTAGTCTAAAAATAATAAACACAAAAAATTTATCTTGAATAGTTTGATTTATTGGACAAGATAAAAATATGGAATTTTATGAATCTCTGCATGAATTAGTTTTAAATACAAAAAAATGTTACTAAATTTTTATAACAATTTATAAAATTTCATGTGCAGGGTCATCTGGTGGATGATGATTGATCAAGCAGCTGAAAATAAGAAAAACAAAGTTCAATTATTACATTGATTATTTAATGTGAATTTTTTAAAAAATCAACTCCAGTTTTTTTGTAAAATCAAAAATTAATTACTAAAGTTAGCCGACGACTTTAATTTTTTTTTTAATAATTAAATTAGAATAAAAAAATATTTTTTAAAAATTGCACTTACAGTTTTCAAAGTTTTTTACAAGTGAATTTTTTTTTTTTGTCATAATTCCTCAATAAAAAAAAAATTCTAAAAATTTTTAAATGTCGGCTAACTTAATTTTCATGCTTATATCAATACTTTAAACTCTAATTACGAACAATTACAATATCAGTACATTTTATAAGCAATTTTAGAACAAAAAAACTAGTTTTTTCATGAGACTTTTAGAAAAAAAAGTTAAATCAATTATTGTATGAAGTTTTATTTAAATTTCATGACTTATACTTACAGAACATTGAGATCCAGTTTACTTAGACCTCGCACGCATCTTCCTCCTCTTACGCTTTAGCCTTCGCATACGCTTCTTACGCCACTGAAAAAATAAATGTTACATTAATTAATTAATCAGAAAAATGTTTTTTTATTTTCATTAATAATTGATAATTATTATTATTATAATTATCTTGAATAAATTATTAAAGTCATTGCTAGCCAACAAAGATCAGACAGAGAATTTAAAACAAAAAATCAAAGCTAAGCATGGCAAAAAAAAAGGAATTATTATAAAAATTGACAAAAAACAATATTTTTTATAAATAATTATAAATAATCGCAAATAATTACCTTAGCTCTCATATTTGTTGAATGAGGAAGCTAGAAAACTCTAGTTATTCCTCGATTACTACGGATTAAATTTATCCGCACGTAGATAGTTCAACAAACCAATATGAAAAGACAGAAATGGCAGACTCTTGTTGTCTTGCAGTGTTTTAGAGTTTTACTGTTTCTATTTCCCGCCGCTTGATGGCGATAAGTATCGCCATGTGCTGCCATCTAGCGAGATAATTTTAAAACACTTGTAGATTGATTTTCCCGCGCGCGTTTTAGTTTTTTCCCGCGTAATTGGTGACGCCATTGCACATTGCAGTCGTCATTCGCCAGTCGGTCGTCACCTGTTGCAGTTCGTTAGCGAGTGACACGTTAGCGCGTATTTGATTAATTTTTAATTTATTAATTAATAATTAATTCCAAATGTACTCACATAAGCGAATTTGTTTGACAGCTGATAAAATAAAGTTGCGGTAATATATAAATTCATTGCGGTTTAATTAATTTTTTCATTCGCCGAAATTTCGTCGTAGTATTGTTTACAGCGGGTCGGACATTTTGACACGGTGTTGAAATAATTTTTTTTAATAACAATTTTTTAGACTAAAATAAATTGAAAAATTTTTTAATTTATTATTTTGACGGCAACTGATTAATTCAATTCATATTTTACGCGTTGGAAGGTTAGAATTATTATCTTATCTGAGCTGAGCTTGGACATTTTTTTTATCGTTGTGATAGAAAGTACCCGGGTAATTTGACAATTAAAAAAAAAAAATGAGTATTCAAGCGACGATAAATTTCCCGAGTGTTAAAAAATTGACGTTCTACGGTGGAAAAAACGAGGAGAAACAAGACTTCACCAATGCGACTGTGAGGAACACGCCGTCGAGTGTGAGATACGTCTCGAAAGTCAAAAAAATAATGACCATCAGCAGCAGTGAGTCTGATGGAGACTCGGATTGTTCTGACTCGGAGAATTCTAAGAAACGCACTCGGGGAAGTAAAGTTGTTGCTGCTAAGACGATTACTAGGACTTCTAGAAGAAGACGCCAAGTATCTATTTCTAATGACGGAGGTAATTTTTTAGTTTATTTATTTACTTTTTATGAAAATTAAGTTAGCCGACACAAAAATTTTTAATTCTTTTTTTCAATTCAAAATTAGAACTAAAAAACTATTTTTAAAAAATTTTTGTTCTAATTTTTTACAAATTATTTTTAAATAAAATAATTTATAAAAATTTTTTTTCATTGAAAAAATTAATGAAAATAAAGTTAGCCGACATCTAAAAATTTTTATAATTTTTTTTATTAAAGAATTATTACAAAAAAATAAAAAAAAATTTTTTCATTTGTTAAAAACTTCAAAAACTATGAGTGCAATTTTTTAAAAATATTTTTTAGTTATAATTTAATAAACTAAGCAAAATAAAAAAAATTAAAAATATCGTCTAACTTTATTATTATAAGTTAGTATTCGTAAAATATATAACATATTTTATACTGCCCTCCGAATATTGAGAATATAAATTTTAAAGCTTCGAATATCGAATCATTAAATTTTTGCTAATTATTCTTGAAGGTATTTTTAAAAATAACTTATCAAAGTAATTAATTTTTTAATATTTAAATTTTATTTAAGAAATATTAAATTTTATTTTAGATATATTCCAATTCTTAAATAATCAATATCTACTAATTACTTATCTTGCTCATATTTTGCACTTCAATTAACGACAAGTTAAATATTTAATAAGTTTTTAAAACGGGATTTATAACCAGTCATATTGATACGAGCCTTGAACAATTAAAACTACTTAATATTTGAACATGTAATTAATTAAAAGCAGAAGTTTTATCTTTTTTTATGAAATATAATAAAACCACTATTTATTCCATTAATATTTGCCGAGTAAATCAATTAAAAATGTATGTACCATTTGGAAATATTCCACTATTTATTTTTTCAAAATTATTAAATTACAATAATGAATAATACATGTTACTAAAGTTAGCCGACGTTTTTAATTTTTTAATAATTAAATTAAAACAAAAAAATATTTTTTCAAAATTGTACTTACAGTTTTTCAAATTTTTTTTTTAATTTTTTTGTAATAATTTTATCGATAAAAAAAAATTCTAAAAATTTTTAAAAGCTAACTTAATTTTCATGAATAATACTAGTAAATTTAAAGAGGATAATTGGAGAACAAAATGAATAAATCTGTGATATATATAATATTTAATATAATGTATTTTTTAGTTTGTTTAAATTTTCTACAAATATTTTATCAACCGGTACAAAATCGGGACAATTTTAAATAGTATTATATTTTAAATTTTAATATTGCGTATCATTAATCATTTATTTTGCTCGTCGCTGTAATTTTGTAAATGGGTTATGACAATAATTTATTCATTGAATACTTACTGAGTTAATTTCTATCACAAAAAATAAAATATTTATATCACTGCATAAAACATTGGAATAATTACGGAGTAATTAACAAATGTTGGTTACAAAAGTTCGCTAAATTTTTAACAATTGGTTTTTTTTTTTTTTTTAATATTTTATTATTATTATTATAAAACATAAAATTGTACAAGTAGAAAAAAAATTAACACTTTATATTATTTCCAGAGGATGTGATCTCGCCACCTAAGCAAAGAAAACCAGAATCACCAAAGACACCTTCAACTTTACTGAATAAATTAATTCTAACATCGCCAACAAGCAAGAGAGATCATCTGACACCAAAGAAGCTGTTCGCGGAAAAATATCAAAGCGCTAGAAAAGCGTTACACAGTTCAGTGCCCGAGAATCTTCCGGGTCGTGAATCTCAGCTTTTGGAGTTGAGAAATTTCATCAAACATCATCTAGAAAATGAGACCTCTGGCTCTTTGTATATATCAGGCCCTCCAGGAACTGGCAAGACAGCCAGTCTGTCAAAAATAATGCTGGAGCCAGAATTCAAATCGGCCTTCAAAATTATCTACGTAAATTGCACGACTATGAAGTCAGCAGGCACAATCTACACGAAAATCCTCCAGGAGCTTAAAGTACCAGCACCGAAATCTGAGAAAGCTGGAAAAGCAGCCATAGAAAAGTACTTAAGGTCGTCTCACAAAACGGTCCTTTTAGTTCTTGATGAAATCGATCAGCTGGAGAGCAAACGTCAGTCTGTTTTGTATTCAGTGTTCGAGTGGCCGTCTATCGCAAACTCAAATTTGCTGCTCGTCGGCATTGCAAATGCTCTGGATCTCACTGATCGGATTTTACCCCGGCTTAACGCTCGCTGCGAATTGAAGCCCAAATTGATGCATTTCGCTCCTTACACCAAGGAACAAATCGTCAACATAATTGCCGAGAGGTTGAGGGAAGCCAATGTAGCGGATGTTTTTACGGGGGTCGCAATGCAAATGCTTGCTGCTAAAGTTGCTGCTATCTCTGGGGACGTTAGGAGGGCTTTGGACATCAGCAGGCGCGTTGTTGAACTTGCTGAAAGTCAGAGGAACTCTGTTTTGAAGCCTTCTGTTGATAATTGTGAGTTTAAGTATTTTATTATTATTATTATTATTATTGTTGTTGTTGTTGTTGTTGTTGAAATAATAATAAACTAGCAACTTTGCAGTCACTATGTGACTGCCGTGACTGGTGAACTATAAATAAATAAAATTTTGCTCTATTAAATAATGACTTTTGATAAATTGCACTGTACTTTTCAACTATTGACTTTTTTAAAGATATAAGCTCATCTTGATGTTACACTCATCAAGAGCTTTCATTTGAGTACCCACATGCATGTTTGATATATTTTTCATATATACATATATGTAATATATATAGATAGATATATAGTTTCTAGTGTACAGGCGTAATAACGCCCTTTTACACCCTAAGCCTTCACATTTCTGCTTAGTTAACCTGCCTTATCATTGCGGCTGTGGACCGACTTGTGCCTTCTGTACCGTATTCACCCTGATCCTCACCACTCGGGTATTGAAACAGAAACATGGGGAAACCACAGAGAAAACCCATGTTAGTACAGTCGGAGCTGGGTTAAGTCTACAGTGATAGATAAGAAATTCTTCTTTATCGACCACTGGAGCATTAGGCCTCTCTCCTAGTGTGCAGAGATCCCTCGCGCTAGCCAACGCTGACTACCCTGATAGCCAAACCAAGTCGCAACTTTCCGTTGATTTGCTGCAGCAACTTGTCACCAAGTTGGCGGCAAGTCTTGGAAATGAACTCGGTTGTTCACCAAGTTGTCGGCAGAAATTGCTTTCGAAACTCTTTCGCACCAAGTTGACGACAAGTGTCTCGAGAAATTTGGCGACATATTGCGCCAGTAGATTGTTTTTTTCAGAAACTTGTAGCCAACTTGACGCCAACAGTTTCAAATTCGGAAGTTGACCGCAAGTTGTCGGTAAGTTGGTGGCAACTATCTGACACCAACTTGGTTGGTCTGAAACTGTAGCTATCAGGGTAGAGTGGTCACTCATTTAAGTTGTTGCTTAAATGGGTGATCGCCCAAGTCAGACGTGTGCCGCCCGGCTATCTCTGCCACTTCCAGAGGTTGGCAATGTAGCGTTACGCACATATTTTATTCTGAAAAATATTGGTGCGTGCTGGGATCGAACCCGGGTCCCACTCTTTCGAAAAGTGAGCACCGAGCCGACCAGGCCATTGCCAACCTAGAATGTAATATATATATAAATATAAGAAAAATTGATGTGGGTACTTAAATGAAAGGTCTTAATGAGTGTAACATCGGGATGAGCTTATATCTATAGAAAGGTCAATAGTTCACGAGATACAAGGTCGTTTCTTAATTATTGATAATTTTAAAGATGTAAGCTCATCTCGATGTTACACTCATCAAGAGCTTTTATTTGAGTACCCACATGCATTTTTGATATATTTTTCATATATACATGTATATAATATATATAAATATACAAAATATATGAAAAATTAATGTGGGTACTCAAATGAAAGGTCTCGATGAGTGTAATATCAGGATGAGCTTATATCTTTAAAAATGTCAATAGTTCACAAGATACAAGGTTATTTCTTAATTATGTAATATATATTTCAAAGATATAAGCTCATCCCGATGTTACACTTATCAAGAGCATTCATTTGAGTACCCACATGTATTTTTGATATATTTTTCATATATACGTATATGTAATATATATAAATATATGAAAAATTGATGTGGGTACTTAAATGAAAGGTCTTGATGAGTGTAACATCGGGATGAGCTTATATCTTCAAAAATGTTAATAGTTCTCAAGATACAAGGTCATTTCTTAATTTTGTATCTAGAGGTAGAGCATTTTCGAATACAGCCAAAATACTTATCATCATAAATTGACTATTAGTGAGAATGATATGAAACCATGAAAAGGCACAACTTCAAATCAAGACCTTTCTAATAATACCAAATTTAACCATAAAAACCCATTTTATCATATAAATACACTAGCCACAAAATTTTGCTTATTCTCTTAATAGTATAGATTATTTTAGACTTTTTAGAAGCCATAAAAATTTAATTATTCATCATTTAGGAAAAATTATTTATAAGACTTCATATTAGTTTATATTTTATAGTAATTAATTATTTTTTTGTAAATAATAGGCAATAATGGTGGGAGTCCAAAGAAGCAGAATGTTGAAGAAAAACCAGTTGATTTAAAAGATGTAATTGCTGTTTTGAATGGCGTGTATGGTGGTTCACAAAATATCCAACAAGAAGATGAAGAAGATACGTTTCCTTTGCAACAAAAATTATTATTGTGCTCGTTGATGCTTATACTTAACAAAGGACGTAATAAAGATGTTACTATTAGTAAGGTAAATTTAAAATAAATTACTTTTATCGATATATTTTATTTTTTAGTGTAATAAAATAAAATTAATAATTATTTAAATTTTTTACAGTTGCATGAAGTATACAAAAAAGTATGCAAAAAACGTAACATCCACACAGTAGACATATCCGAATTCGTAGGAGTATGTTCATTGATAGAAACTCGAGGAATTCTGCGTTTGGTGGGTAAAAAAGAGCCTCGACTATCAAAAGTAAGCCTCCAGTGGGACCAAAATGAGCTGGAAGTCGCATTGCAGGACAAAAAAATGATGGCTGAAATAATTAACGACACAACGTGCCTTTAATTTTATTCGTGAATTTTTGCGTAAGTTTATTTATTGAGTTATTTATTCAAAGTGTTAAAAGTTTACAATTTACTTTTAAACTGAGACCTGATTATTAAAGTTAAAATTATTTAGCTGTTTACTGAGATATTAGTTAAGAGCATGTTGACTGAAATTGTAATAAATAAATTATTTTTAATCAAAAAGCATGGTTGAATTTTTTTTTTTTGGTAGGAGATTACCTAACATTTTTTCGAAATTTTGTTAGGAAGAAAATTTAATTGGAATTTCATTTCAGTAAGAATTGAAAATAAATTTTTTTTATTGAAAAATAGTATTTAAAAAATAGCTATGAAATTTTCTTTATATAAAAATTCTGCGTGAAATGAAATTCCATTTATATGAATTTATTTTATTAAAATTGAACGAAATTTTGGTATATAATACTTCCATCTACATGTCACTAAACCTGTCACATGATTCCGTCATAAATTGATCTAGTCCTATCTCTTCAATAATATCCAATAATCCAATAGCCCAATAATTACTTTTTATTACGACACTTTAAATTCCAACATCGATTATAACGTAATGTAATATTTGACACCGTAAGCTTAAATAATAGTCATGAAACGTCTATCATAAACCCATTATTATTATTACTAGCAACCTTGCAGTCACTATGTGACTGCCGTGACTTGTGAAGTATAAATAAATAAAATTTTGCTTTATTAAATAATGACTTTTGTTAAATTGCACTGTATTTTTATAACTATTGACGTTTTTAAAGAAGTAAGCTCATCCCGATGTTACACTCATCAAGAGCTTTCATTTGAGTAGCCACATGAATTTTTCATATATTTAATAAAGGTCTCGATGAGTGTAACATCGGAATGAGCTTATATCTTTAAAAATGTCAATAGTTCACAAGATATTTGTTAAATTGCACTGTACTTTCTTAAATACTGACGTTTTTAAAGATATAAACTCATCTCGATGTTACACTCATCAAGAGCTTCCATTTGAGTACCCACATGCATTTTGATATATTTTTCATATATACATATATATAATATATAAAATATATGAAAAATTGATGTGGGTACTCAAATGAAAGGTCTCGATGAGTGTAACATCGGGGTGAGCTTATATCTTTAAAAATGTCAATAGTTCTCAAGATACAAGGTCATTTCTTAATTTTGTAGCTAGAGATAGAGCATTTTCGAATGCAGCCAAAATACTTATCATTATAAATTGACTATTAGTAAGAATGATATGAAACTATGAAAAGGCACAACTCCACATTAAGACCTTTCTAATGATACCAAATTTAACCATAAAAAGCCATTTTATCACATAAATACACTTGCCACAAAATTTTGCTTATTCTCTTAATAATATAGATTATTATTATTATTATTATTATTATAAATTATCAAATTCTTTATTGAAAATTTAACTGTTTAAAGTTTTATAACACCACAAGTATTTAGCGGTTTTAAATCCTTCCGCTGGTTTAGACAGGCATTTATAAAAATGTTCATACTATCATATAATATAATACAATAAAATCCACGTTTATTTAAAAATAGAAACAAACAATTACAGCTGTATATAATACTTGGTACGCGTGTTACTCCAGTTGTGTATAATGTGGATTATTTCCAGTCTCTGCTCTTCTCTTAGCACAAATTATTGAATCCATGTTAGTCTATATCTGTACCTATGGATCCATATATCTATATCTATATGTATCGCGTATAATGTGAAACACGGAACTTGTAACATTGTAGAGATTCCAGACTATGTACTTATAAATATGTATATACCTGGAAGCTTGATACAAGTCATGCCGTCAGATTAAACTAGATACATGCTACCAAGTTTTATTCCAAATGGCTTCGCCAAGTTGGTGATCTCTCTGATCTTATATTACATGACTAGACTCGGGCTTGTGTATGTTCAACAAAATAGAATAATGAAACTGGATTGTGCGGATAACAATAGTCAACTCCATAGCGACTTAACTGTTTGTTGCTAAATGAGTCATCGTACTAATTGGCCTGTAATTCCTTATTTTACTAGTTACAGGTTCTTATGTTCTAAATTTAATAAGATGCTTGAATTCGTCAAGGATATTAAATCATATTAATAATTACTATTAATTACTAAAGGGTGACGGCTCAAAATGAGCCACTTGACATAAATGTTCTTCTTGTAGATGATAAAATAATCATTTTCAAGTTTTAACAATTATTTATTTGAATTTTTGAAATTACAGAAACATTTTTTTTTTTTTATAAATTGGCGGCTCAGTAAAAATTTTTTTTGAAACAAAAAACAAAATTGCTTTATATTTCTGATATATGCAGGAGGAAAAATTTTATTATTTCAATTCTCGACTAAGTATTAAAGAGATGATAAACACTGGTGAAAAAAGTCCGTCAAACAGCAAATTGGTCGTTCATAACTATTTAGCTGCCGGGTAATTTTTTTAGTCGGTCATCGTATTCCAGTCTTGAGTATACAAACAATCCTGAGAGAAAACAACTGGGATAATAGCTCTGTCGGGGATGAAATAAATGCATTTCTACTCTGAGGATTGTTGAATTTACTCAGCTGCCTTTCGCTGTTTTTTATTTACTTTGAGTCCTTTGCTTTAATATTTAACGTGTCAATATTGATTCGTCGATTAATTTTCTATCGTCAAAGGTCATAAATTTGAGTTCGATATTAAAATTTATATATTTGTTCAAATTCTCAAAATTTACTTTAGCAACTCTTTGGTAAAATAAGAATTAAACTAGAAAAAAAATATTTAATATTTATTTTCAATAAAGTATAAAATTTTATTATAGAATTGTTAAATTTCTGAAACTAAAACTTAAATTTTTGAAACTAAACTTTTTATAGCTTATTTAGTTCCTAAACTAAATTTTACAAATTTAAATTCGTAAGTGTTATAAAAAAAAACTGCAATACTTTAATACAACGTGTGGATTGGTCTCGTTGGATTTAGATTCCCGTCTTATACATATATATCAACCCATCAGCATCAGCACCATCATCCATTTTGCTAGTTCGCCGTCTCACAGCACGTACTTGTCCTCGAACAATTTACAAAGTCCTGGGACCGCCCACTCGATTATTCAGTTTTCCGGATATTGTTCTACTCTCAATGACACGTGTTTGAGAACAGCTAGATCTAGATACTCTCGTACTTATACTCATCCCTTAATTCCTTTATTTCTGCTCTACAACTCTCTACAGACAATTTATACTAGCATGAGTGAGTTACAACATTCGCTAATATATACATAATTTTATGGGAAAGATGGACAGTTGTTAAACTTTTGCACGCCTCATAAGTAAAGTGCTCTACACTCAACATGTCAAAAAAAGGAGTTTTCTCGAAACTGAAATTGATTTGTTTTTATACTTGTATCACACTTACAGGATAATATGTGCACCTATATCAAGTCAAAAAATATGTCAGGCACATAAAGTATATTTCAATAACAATTATTTTGTTTAACATAGTAAATAATAACATTAAAAATAATTTTATAGATATTTTCTGACGTAAGTCATTAAATTTTCATTTTATTGGCTATCCAGTCTAATACAACAATTTTTTTTTCTCTAATTTTTCGTAATATTTTTAGCCTGTATTTCCTTCCAGGCATAAACAATTTATCCTCAATTATAAAGATAAATTTGAATGAAAAAATAATTCGGACGGACCAGACCAAGACTCGAACCTGGATCTTTTGGTCACGCGCCAAAAAATTGTTGTATTAGACTGGATAGCCAATAAAATGGAAATTTAATGACTTACGTCACAAAATATCTATAAAAGTATTAAAACTAGTCTTTAGAAAAAAATAAAATATTAAAAATAATCTTTAATTATTTAAGATGTGTATTTAGGCACATCAAGCACAATAAATAGTAGGAAGGGACGTAAAAAATCCCACGTGTCTAGGCCAGAAGGCTGACTTGAAGACTCCAAAAAAAAAAATAATGTACTTACATATAAGTTATATAGAAAAAAAATTTACTTGAATCAAGTTAAAAAATTTAAAGAACTTTATCTTCTTGATTTGACGAAAAAAATTCTTAAGCTAAGAAAGAAATTTCGTCTTGAATCAAGTTACTTTTTTTTTAGTGTAAATTATTACAAATATAAAATCTAATATATAGGCCAATATAATCACATAAATTACAATTAAATTTTACCATTAATATAATATAAAAGTATGAAAAAGCGTTATTTACCAAAATTGGACGTTTTACTTATAAATTAAATTCAAATGAAATAAATTATTAATTAAGTTGAAGATAAACAGTCGGAACCTTTATAATTATGTTAAATTCACTTGTTAACTCATTTAATTATTTGTTTCCTGAGAAAAAACCCAACAGCTAAAAGGCCAATGATAGGGTCACTTAAAAAGTTCACACTAGGTACAATTTAAGCATAATTCATATCTTTTATTCTCCTTGCAGCAAAGCTATAACAAATTCTTGAATTTTTCTAAAAAAAAATTCAAAATTTCCAAAAAAAAAAAACACTCTGCTGAAAAATAACTAATTAGGTAATAGAAAAATATTTTTTTACAAAATTTTTCTCTGCTTCAAAAAAATGCACGAATTTATAATAGCTGGGGAAGTTTAAAAAAAAATAATAAAACATTTGTCAGAGTGTCGTGCTTGAATAAAAATATAAAATAAAATTTTTCCGGAAAACTCGGATGCTAAAGCCTTCCTGATCACTGCGTAATTAAATTGTTCATAGCTCGAACCTCCGACAAATCAATTCCACATGATTGAACATCGCTTCACACCGCGATACTACCCGGGTGTGCATAACGGGGATGATATGCACATATAATCGTTATTTATCGAATAGTGAATAAAAAATAAAAATATATTTTGTTTGGAGTATTTTAATTGCAGTTAGCTGTTTAGTATTTTTCATTAAATTTAAAGCTTCTCGGATAAGATTAACGATCTGTTAA